TTTGCTACATCACAATAATTAATATTAAGAAATAAACTCATTAAGATCACATACAATGACATTTTTTCACCTAATTTTGTATTGCAGCAACTAATACATATATTATCTTCGTTCTATAAAATCTATATCTCACAGATCAGCAATTACTTACTTAACAAATACGTTGACATTCTTTCACAATTTACGTGTAAAATGAACAATTGCTGACAGAATTGTTAAATAATTTACTCACTTTGTATTTAAGTACATTGCATAAATAATTTATAGTTAGTAATTTTTTTTTTGTTTTCTAAATACCCTAATCGTTATAATAAAAATATTTTAATAAATTAATTTTATGTCTAAATGAATACACACTGGTTGTTTGTGAAAGTTTCTGAAGAAATGGTTTCACAGTGTATAGAAATTTAAACAACAATGTATTTCCTAATTAACAATTTTTACTGCCAATATATCGATGAATTCTAAATAAATGAGACAATTTTGAATAATTTAAATTTACGTACGTATATTTACTCTATATACGTACGTAAAAAGTTTTAAATATAAAAAATCAATTATTTAGGAATCAATTAATCATGTTTTATATTGCAAATTATGCTTATAAAAGAGTAACTTTATTAAAAAAAAAGAGAGAGAGAAATTAAAAATTTTTCTTTTAATTTTCTCTAATAATGTATCATATTTTTTGTATATCGAATTAATTCGCTCCTGGCATGCAGTGAAAAGTGAAATTTATATTTCTTAAAGTTTCATTTATATTGCAAATACGTTATACCGTTGGAAGAATGATTGTATATAATATTGGATATTATTATGATATATGCTTTATCAACAATCTGACATGAGTATGATACATTAGGCAAACTATCGTAATAAAAGTTTAAGATACCAAAAAGAAATATGTATTAAGATAGTTGCATATTTCAAAGATAAAAGTCAAATATGAAATTAGTTAATGGTAAACATATTTTGTCAAACTAACTTTTAATGACTCATTCTTACTATAATCAATAAATAATTTGTATTCTTATGTAAGATAGTAAGTACCTGGCTAACTATTATTTTAAATGGCTAATATATATCATATGTTTAAAAATTCTATAAAAGTACAATGTATTAAAATATTTATCTATTTAAATATTTATCTGTCTCAGAAACTCCTCAAATATTACTTCAAATATAACTTGACTTAGTATTTAGAATACTAAAATAAAACGGCATCATTAACTATAAAATAACAATATTAATTTATTAAATTTTTGTTTAAATGTACAAATTTCTTTTTAAAAAAGAATGTAAAAATCATGAAGAATTTGTTTGTTATTGAAATAATCATTAATAAATCAAACGTCTATCTTTGCATGTGTATTATTAATTTGTTAAAGAATAATTTAAAAAATTTATAAACTACGTTAAAAATAAGACTATAACTTTTAATGCAATTTCCATTTCAATATTTACTCATAAACTTTCATATACGCGTGAAAATTTGTTTAAATAACAAATTACGACCGATTTAAAGCTTAATTTTAATTTCTCGGATTTTCATAAAAAATAATTTTCATTAACTGTATTTGTAAGTATTCGTGTATCTACAAAACATAATTGTGCACATCGTTTTAGTAAATTTAAATAACCATCCAAGCATAATCCAAGCAAAATATTTTGTTAATTTTTCAAATTGACCTCTACATGCCCGAACAACTCACGAACAAAGCAAACAAATCTACAATTTATACATTATAGCTTTTATCTCTATTTAATAGAGCATCGCTATATATTTTATATGATTATTACGTAAAATAAACATAAATTATAGATGATTATTATAGAGTTTAGTATTATATTGGTTCGTAAACATTGTTATAGAATGGGTCTCGTAAAAAAATTTTTTTATATCACTTCTAACTTTAAATCTAATGAGATCTTATTAACAATATTTATAAAAATAATAGGAATTGAATAATTATATTAATTATACGAATAACCATTGCTGTTATACACTTAATAATTTTACTATTACATTTTATTAACAGCTCATTAAACACTCGTTTTTATTAATTTATCTTATATATATATATATATATATATATTATGTACACCTTATCTAACTCCCACACTTTCGCTTTATTATCTTTCATTGTGAACAGCAGTGGTACCTTATAGATATTTTCATTACTAAAAGACTAATTTCAATCATTTATTTTTTCTTCATCGTTTGGCTACTTGTAAAGACAAAGATGGATCGTGCTATCGATCTCGAACAATACGGATTGACGATCGCGACACAAACGTAAGAATGAATGCATTTATGATAAAACTTCGATAAATGAAAAATTAATTAAGTAATTTTTCCGTCATAACGTTAAATTCGTAACTCACTATGAAGTTAGAAGAACATAGTTAAATGTAATAATAATAAGTACGTATGAAAATTAAAAAATCACTTGTACATAAATTGAGTTGTTTTGTTGAAAACATAATTAAATGTATTTAAATTGTGATAAAAATTATCAGGACTATTTATTCTATAATAATACTACTTGAATTAATTAATCATACTTTTTCGATAAGAGCAATAGTTAATAATTGTTAACATACTATAATTAATGCTGAATTATATCTCTAATCTTGATATAAAGGGATTATCTATTATTATTCAGACTTTAAATCAATCTTATCAAGTATCAAGTAGTGAAATAAAAATACTTTTAATAGAATGTATAAATTGGACTTTTTCATAATTGTTTTTTTTTGCGACAGTATGAAATTAAAGTAAAGAACGCTTCTCGGGCATTTATCTTGTCAGAAATGGGAACTCGTGAGAAATAAACTTCACCTTTGTTCTTTATCTGTAAAATAGAAATTGTGTGTAATTTGCACTCATAATAATCGTTGTTATTCTTGTTATTCTTTATATTAGAATACGAGTTTCCCTGACCTACAGACATTGCAATAAATATAGCTTTCTCATACGGTTTTTTAATTATTTATAAATTTGTGCTACTATTTTCATGCATGTTTATTTATTACTGTATACTGTATAAATTGGCGAATGAAAGTGAATTTAAATTAAGTCGAGAAACGAGAAATGTAGGAAAATGCCATCTTAATTAATTAATTTTATTTTATAATATTATATTTATTTTGTACGATGCCACTTCAGTAAATGGTTACAAAAAAAAAAAAAAAAAAAAAAAAAAAAAGAGAGAAAAAAAAACAAAAATTACTGAACAAAATATAGGGATTGATTTACAATATATTAATATCTTTATAATTATGTACGCGTATCCATGAGTGGTAATGGAGGAATTGTATGAAACATATTTCTTTTAATGGAAATACAATATTAGTCAATATATCATACGTTATAATTTTTATTGATATATACATAAATTCTGATAATTATGAAATACATTAGAGACAATAATATTTTGCAACATACTTAATACAAGTTATTGCCTAAGTATAAATACATTATAATCATTGATAATGTTTGTACAGTATGATTAAAAAAGAATTGTATTAAATTTACGAGAATTAAATGTATAAATCAGTAAATTAAATGAGGTTCTATCAAATACGATACTTATGCATTACGTTTTATTTGTATGTAATTTGTAATAATTCCATTGGGAAAAAAAAAAAAAACAGTTCTTCTACGATTCTCGTGTTATGATAATTTATTGAAACAGACAGTATTGTTAACTGATACATAATATTACCAGATTGTTCCGAAAATAAAGAGGAATTCTTGATTTTATTGAATTATTTTTAATACGATTAACATAATTCATTATAAAATAAATGAAATAGTATCTACTTCATAAATTTTTCTATATTATTGCCAAGTTTTTAAGATTTATTTATTTATTTAACTTTGACATTATCAATAAAACACTATAATATACATAATTTCCGTAATGGAGGAAAAAATTTGATTTTATTTTTTAAGGAAATTTCCTATATAAAATACAATACTATTGATTATTAGGCATTTTAATACAAAATGTTGTTAACACTCGATATTTTCAGAAGCTATGAATGACTTTTCATTCAATATTCTGTTATTTAAAAAGAAAAAAATGTTTTTTTTTTCTCCAATAACTTATGCTTATTATATCTGGCCTTATTCATAATAAACTATGACTACAAAAATAAAGATCACGAAGTCTCGTGTATCCTAACTAAGTCAAATTCTTGAATCGCCACCTCTTATGTGGGTGGATATAAATGTAGCTCTGCTAAATATTCATTGCGAATCCAGAGATCGGGTTGCTGCACAGTTAAGGAAAAAAATTCAGATTTCGCAGAATACACGTCACGCATATAATCTCATTTTAATAATGCGACGTAATTCCGTATAAAAAATAAATATTTCCCTTTTGCTTGAATTGAGTTGCGCGTACTTGCATATTTCTTGTATAAGAAACAAGATTTATTCCGAGTTCGAGTTATTCCAAGCTAAATGACTTCCTCAATATTAGCTTTCAAAACAACCGTTAGACATATTTTGCATTGTTAGAGAATTGTCTATTAAATCATGCAATCGATGCAATAATCACGAGGACGAATAACGATGTAATTTCGAAGTCTTGTAACGTTCTTTAAAACTTTATAATAAATAAGTTGTTTTTGGTCAATTTTTTATTTATTATTCTTTTTTCAGCATTATGCTTTTTCGTAATATTTCTTGCATTTCATTATTATATTTACTCATCAACTATAAAATTATTTGGCAAAGCTCGATTATACTTCTAATGTTTTTAAGTATATTGTCTAGCAATGTAGTTTCAAATGACAATTAACTTTGACATTGTACTATTTTAAATATTATATATATCTATATATATATATATATATATATATATATAAAGAGAGAGAGAGAGAGAGAGTGAGCGATAAATAAAAATAAACGCATACAATAATAAATCCAGATGTAAACATTAACAATTTAAACAAATGTTTTATATTTTTAAATATTTAATAAATAGTGCAACAAAGTTTGATCGATTATTGTTAATAAGTGGCAGAAATATATATATATATTGAAATGTAGTATTATAAAAGTAGAGCAAAATTCAAGGCTGCATTACAAAAAAGAATCGAAAGATTATTAATAATGAATACCTTATCTTAACGCTTTTAAAATCTAATATCTTATCAGATTCAGAGCAAAAATCTATAGGAAATAAGTGTTTACATACATTATCATATTTACTTTAATTTTTAATTTATATTTTCGAAAATAAAGGTATAAATAAATATATATATATATATATATATATATATAAAGGTGGAAAAAATTCTAAAAATAGAGAATTAACTATTTATTAGATAAGAACATTTGCGAACATAAACGATTATAATGTAAAGATTATATAATTATGTAAAGTAAAAGAATACAATTTTTCTATCTTTAGAGTTGTTCATATTTTAAATCACGTACGCACAATGTGTATAATAAAATATAAATAACAGTGTTTTAGAATTTTTAATACTAAAAAATGAAATCTAGAAAATATGTCTTTGAATTCTTATCATTTTGATAATAACAATAAATAACTAAACCTTCAATCTATGTTTCTTCCTTATCCGTGTACATTTATTAAAATTTATGATAAATATAAAGTTATTTTATAATATAATGGTACTGTAGAAGAAATGAAAATAAAAAATCGATATATTCACTAATTATATGATTAAATCTTCTATTGTAAATCATTTCTTTAAAAATTTTTTTTAATTCAAACATATAATATTTCAGTATTTTATATACTTTCATTATTTGTTCAAATATTTATTTATCCTAATAATTTCAATATATAACAATATAATAATCTTGAAAGATGTAAAATATATTATAAATTAATAACGTGAGAAAATCATTGTAAAAATGAAATTTTTTGAATATTTTATACCCGTTTAGTCGCAAAATTGTTTTTAGGTCAAAGAACTATTTTTTATAATTACAATGGCAACATAATTTTCTCACCATGTGTTTACACATATCATTAAATATACTATTAAATTATTAATAATATTTTGTATATTATTTATATTCTAAAGGACTTAAGACTCTGAAAATGTTCTGTATTATTTTTAAATTCTTGTCTGAATTGGGAAATAATTAATAACGTATATTTATTCAGTAACTTATTATGTTTGCAGAATTTGTCGTATCAGTGTTGTGATAATAAATTTATATCATTAAAATTCATTTGGCTTAAGACAGTTAATATATATATATATATATATATATATATATATATATATATATAATCATTAGTATTTATGTTATAAAAATTACTTAATTTTATTGGATTAATTATTAATTTATCATTAAAAATACCACGATAGTAGCATTGAAAAAGATGTCGTCGTTAATAGTACGATTAAATAAATAAATGAGTACTTTTTCTTTATAGAGATCTTTCGAATGAACTTGATAAGACCAATAAAATTACTTTGTAAAATAATAAAATGAAAATGCAGTTAAATGAAATAATTGTAAAATTTCATAAAATTATATATTTATGTAGCTAAAGGTATTTTATTATAAATGTTATAAATAAATATACGTTATAAGGTAATTGGATGAGAAAAGGACATTATTCACTAGAAATTTTAATTCTTTCACATATAGAAATTATTTAAACAAATACATTTTTGCATAAATAGTATTTAATTATTTTATCCCCAGTAGTACTTATTTCGTATATTATTTACTCGATTTATCTTTGTATTCAATTAGTTGTAATAAATTTCTTATAAATGTATAAGATAAATTAATTAATTAATTGTTCCTTTATTTTCAGTATCTGACGGAAGGAATACTATTACGAGAAATGATGGGTGATCCATTACTCACAAATTATAGTGTTATTATCTTAGATGAGGTTCATGAAAGAACGATGTTAACCGATATTATAATGGGTCTTCTTAAGAAGATTTTAAGGGTAATAATAGAAAAATATATTTATGGCGAACGAATATATCGAAGTTTAATAGTAATATTAATATTAGTGAAAATGGAAAACCATTTTACATACAAATTTATTAATTATACTATATTTGTGGGTTTTATCTAAAAGGGAGTATTTAAAATTTTAAATATAAAAAATTATTTATTTTCATTTTAAAAGTATTTTAATGTTATTTAATAATATATATATAAGTTCAATGGTTATTTTATTTCATCAACAATCGTACTCTATATATAATTACATATTAACATTGTTTTAAAATCAAAAATCAATCATATAAATCAGTTTTGCATTTACAATTATAAATATTAACGTTCCTTGAAAGAAAAACGTTACAATATTCAGAATAAAAAATACAATTATAAATTGTTATATTGTCGAATACTTATTGAAGTTTAATCAGCGATAATTTGTTTTTTATACTTACAAAAGACGATTATGACGATATCTTAGAACCAGAAGATATGAGGTCAACGTAAGTTACTGATGTCATCGTTTAATTTGAATTATATAAGGTGGCTTAGACATAAATTATCCAAGTGAGACAATATATTTCTTTATTATTGTTTTTAATTTTTCATAAATTGTACATAGATATACATAATTATTGAAATTTTCAGCTCCCCTCTATTTATGATATATTTTTCTAAAATATTTGTAGTATTGGTTTTTTTTTTTTTTTTTTTTTTTTTTTTTTTTTTTGTAGAATTTTAAAGTTTTAAATTCTATAATCCACTGTGTCGTCGATTATAAATATAAGACAAAATTTACTTTATGTTAGATTTTAATCAATGTACATTTATCAATTTAATTTCAATTTTGTCGATGTTTCATATACATTTTAATTATTACATTTCATATACATATTAATTTTGTATTTAATAGCTCGCTTTTATATTATTTTTATATATTCATAGTGGATGCTATCCAATTAAAATATCGAAATTCTACTTTCAATAGTAAACTCCAATTATTATAGTTTTGAGAGATCGATAATTTAATATTTTTATCAAATTGTTCGCTCAAGTATTGCTTATAAAATTTTTGTAACTGTGTGCTTTAATTAATCCTTTGTTTAGAAGCTGTGACATTTTACTTGAATTAAAAAAAAAAAAAAAAAAAAAAAAAAAAAAAAAAATCTTTCCAAAAATTCATCTTAATTAATGTAGTTAGTTAAATGAAAGTTTCTCAATCGCACGACGAACAATTCATTCGATAACAAAGTACTTTTGCTTTATAATCAGTTTTTATAATCATAAAGGTATGACTTTATGTGAAATTTATGTGAAATATCACTAAAACACGTCAATTGTATTAATATTTTATTAATTTATTAATATCTTATGCATTGAACGACATAGCAATATATACCATCATTATTTATAAATCAACGAGCATTAACTCAACTATCCATTTCACCCTCAAGAAAAAAAAAAAAAAAAAAAAAATAAATAAATAATCATAATGTGCACGAGCATGGTGATAAGTAATTTCGTTTTCCAATGTAGAAACGGAAGAGTTTACGGGTAATCGTATCGTCGGCAACGGTGGACGCGGAGGAATTACGTGACTTCTTCAACACTAATCAAAGCAGCAAAAGCCGGGACAAGGATACGGCGACAATCCTGAGCGTTGCGGGACGTCTCTATCCTATCGAGATCCTCTACACGGTCGAATCATTGGCCAATTATGTAAATGCCGTCGTCGAGACGGCTATAAAGATCAACGAGTCCGAGGGGCCAGGCGACATTCTCGCTTTCCTTACTGGCATGGACGAAGTCGACCGAGCTGTTTCTCTTCTAGCAGAACACGCCAAGATCGTGAAAGAAGGACAATGTAGGTAAAGCGGATGGCTACCTAGTTAAATCATCCAATGATTCTCGAATGCTCCGGTACTAATGCCAACGAATGTTTTTATTTTTTAACTTTAATTAGTTAAAGTTTAATTAACGTTTATTAAAGTTAAACTTTAATTAGTTAACTTTTTCTTACATTATTCTTATCGCGAATCGCTTATGCTTACACCATGAGTCCCAAAAATTGCACACGAGATAATTTCCTCTCCATTAGCTTATTATTAGCTTATTATTATTAGCTTATTAAGGCATATAATTAAAAGTATAAATTGTGAATTAAGAATATGTAAGAGCAAGTTGTGCTTAAAGTTTGCGAAAAGCTCGCTAACCTATAGCATTAATTTTTCATATTTCAATACTTTGGATATTTATAGGTCATTTAATTTATTTAATTTCTCAAAAATACTAATTTTTATGCTTTATTTTCATTGGAGGCGCATCATGTTTTATTGGATTTATTTTGTAAAATTTGTCTAAATTTACAGTGAAATTGATGCCTTTGCCGATTTACGGCTCATTACCGAATTCCGAGCAATTGAAAGTATTTTGGAAAACGTCGAACGACAGTCGAAAAGTCGTTATAGCCACTAATATCGCGGAAACTTCTATTACCATACCTAACATAACATATGGTAACTATATTATTCGCGTCTTTATTGTTTTTCGTTTCTTTTTATTATTTATTTAACTTTAAGTAAGCGCTTATAATGAACGTTAAAATACATTTTAGTCATCGATTGTGGCTTTGTCAAACTTCCGTGGTTCGATGCTGAAACGCAAACAAATAGTTTAATAATTGCTCCGATATCCAAAGCTTCGGCGGACCAAAGGGCCGGCAGAGCTGGAAGAACGAGATCGGGAAAAGCGTACAGTTAGGGCTTCGATATATATATATATATATATATATTTTTTAGCGCATCGATACAATCCATTTCCATAATTGAAAAGCAACTAATCACCAATTCATATTTAGAAAATAAAATCTATACCTGCGTCTAATATGAAATGGAAAGTTATATTAGATGATGAAATAATGAATGTTGGTTGTCTTGAACTATCGAAGACAAGCCTATTTCCCTTAACCAATTGCTTAATACACTTTTCGTATTTCATAATTTACCATCTAACCTTTACCATCCAAATTACCATCGATCGACGCATCGTGCAAATAATATTCGCACCAATATTAACGAGACTGGCTTTTCATTAAAGGCTTTATACGGAACAAGCTTTTAAAGAATTGATCGACGCAACTCCCCCAGAAATGCAACGCTCGGATTTAGCTCCAGCCGTTTTGCAACTGAAGGCATTAGGTATCGATAATGTATTGAGGTTCAGTTTTCCATCCTCACCGCCAAGTAAAAGCTTGCTTTCGGCATTAGAATTATTATATGCCCTGGGAGCAATTAACGATAATGGAGAATTGAGTAATCCTTTGGGTTTGATGATGGCAGAAATACCGCTCGATCCAGTGTTCGCCAAGTGCATCATTACGTCTGGTGAATTTTCCAAGTGTTTTAGTCTTCCACCAAACCACCCACTCTACCCACCCAATACTCTACCTACGACAATAATATTTACATTTAATACCTAGCCAATTCGATATACAGTTTGACATTAATTAATAGAATGAATGAATGAAGATGAATTAATAATTTTTTACGTCATGAGTTAGCTAGTAGTGAGTTTTTTTCTTGTTTTTTTTTTTGTTTTTCTTCTTTTCTTCTTTTCTTCTTTTCTTCTTTTCTTCTTTTCTTCCTTTCTTCTTTTCTTCTTTTCTTCTTCCGTAATTAAACATATTAATTTTAATATTCAATTGGAATTGAAAGCTTTTCGGTTAAAGCGATATCGCTCGTGCGGAATTATGCTTTGGAAAAAATTTTTGATTTTAATTTGCCTCCTTACAATCGAATTGTTGTTATAACATCAGCCCACTACCTCTACATATTATTCTTAAATTAGCTCATTGTATTAAAATGTATTTATAATGTTCTTCATAAGGTGAAATGGGATGCTCCGAAGAGATAACAACGATATTGGCCATGATGCAAGTTCAAAATGTATTTATACGTCCAAACAGCGGACAGGCTGCAATAAAAGCTCGTATAGCTCATCGTATGTTCGAAGTTGAAGAAGGAGACTTATTGACATTACTAAATGTTTATACGGCTTATGAAAAGAATAAGACCAATCACTGGTGTCAAAAATATTTTATCAATAGCAAGGCCATGAAGAGAGTGACGGAAATTCGAATCCAGATGAGAAAATTAATTAAAAAATTGCAAATACCCATGAAATCCTGTTCAGGTTAGGAATATTTAATTTAACGACATATGCTATATGACTTTATCAGTACAATATTGTTGTGTGTATATGTGTGTATATATATATATATATATTAAAAATGAATTCATGTTAACAGTAACTGTCGAAGGCATTCTTAAATGCATAACATCTGGACTTTTCCCTCATGCTGCTTATTTACACTATAGCGGAGTTTATAAAACCGTTAGAGGAAACAAAGATTTATACATTCATCCAAATAGCTGTCTTTATACATTGGAACAACCGCAATGGTAATATAGACTTGATTCATATTTGAAAAATCCCATATCCAAATGTAATAATGCATTTCAATTGCAGGATTTTATTTGGTGAAATTTTGCAAACGAATAAAACGTATATGAGAGAATTAACTGTGATTAAACCCGAATGGCTGGTGGAATTGGCGCCTCATTTCTATCAGAAGACTGCAATTGATTAAATATCAAATTTTTAATTTCATAAGACTCAATTTTATTTTTAGTACATTGTACAGGAATATTTACCATTAGATTATCGTAATCTGTGTCGATTCGATTAATTAATCGCTCACTACCACTCTCCAAAATTTATAACGATAATTTCGAAAATTGTATAACTTTGCAATTTTAATTATAAAAATTTTATTAACTCAAATCTACGATCTATTTATTAATCGTTACATTATATATAATTGTAAAATATTTTTTTATATAAAATAAAAACAGCAAATTTCAAGATTACCTATATATATATATATATATATATATATATATTGCTATTAACAGTACATTTGTAATGAACAGATATATAAAAAAAAAAAGAAAAAAAAAAGAAAAAAAGTTATTACTTTCAAAAATATTCATCAAAAAATATAAATTGCATAATTATTTTTTCTCAATGAAAATCTATGATTGTTTAATTGACTTTATGTAACTTATAATATTTCCATAACATTACAAGACCCACAGATAGACAAATTCTATTTCAAATTGTATATTATAGAAAATAAGAAGCTTTGATAATATATTATTTGTATTTTATAAATTTGATTGAAAGTATTTTATTTTTATATATTGAATTATTTCTGTTTAATATAATGATCAAATAACATATACAAAGTAAAGAAAATTTTTTTAAAAAAATACCATATACAATTTAGTGTTAAGATAAAAATCAAATAATTATTTTGTAGAAACATATCTTAAAGTAGAATCTGCTGTCATTAATAGTTAATAATAAAGTACAAATTGAAGATATTAAATATTATTGTTTTATTGAAAAGTTGATTTTAACTAAAATGCATAACAACATGTAAATACAAATGCTTTTGCCTTCAAAACTATCATTACAATTAGATACTTTAAATTGATATGACTAGATTATGAATAATTACATAAATCTAAAATTATTTGGCATTAAAATTTATAATATATTTTTTAGCTTCGAAATTTTCAATAAATTTGCAATAAAATCTTCTACAGACGTCAATGTAATTGAATGCTTTTTCAGCGTATCAGAGTGTTCCAAAAAATCTAGTTGACTAGATAGAATCAAAGAAAGATAAAGAAATAGATAAAATAATTACATAATTATCGTCCCAAACTTCTTATTTTTAATCAAATCTCTAATTGTTTTATCAAAAGTGATATTCTTAAGATATTTAAAAAATTTGTGTTTTACGAACATTTTCATAAAAATAACATTTATTAATCGTTCAATCGATAATGATATAAATTATATATATATATATATATATATATATATATTTTTTTTTCTTTCTTTAATTCTATCTAGTCAACTAGATTTTTTGGAACACTCTGATACGCTGAAAAAGCTTTCCAAGAAACGTACTTAGTGTCTGTATAATGGCAAACGTTAAAAAAAAAAAAAGAAAAAAAAAATCAAATAATATAACATCTTCAAATAAACAAAAATTCTTTTCTATATTTTTTATTCATTAGAATGCGTGATATCATAAAATGTTAATAAAATTGATGGTTACGAGAGGTTTCAATAGACTTTTCATCACATATGAAACAATCACTTGTGACAAAGATAGTTTTTAAAATTAATAAAAAATTCATATATATATATATATATATATATATATATATATATATATATATATTATTCCTAAATCAATTGAGATGAAAATTTTAGAAATTTTATAATTTTCAGAAAATCTATTATAAAGTTTAGTTTAATACTTAATAATAATTTTTTTAAATCTAACTAAGGAAAATTTTATTACAAAACTCTCTTATATCGATTTGAAAATAATGAATTGACAATCTGTATAAAATTTTGAAAATAGTAAAACAAATAAAAAGGGTTCAAGAAAAGGTGTTTAAAATTTTTTCAAATCAAAGCATATTAATTTTAAATAATATTAAAATCTAAAAAGCATAGTAGTATTATGTTATTATTCACAATGTTTTGTGATATTATAAGCCTACTTATATTATAGGCATAAATGCGTGTGTACGTGTAGATGTGTAGGCATATCATTTAACGGTAATTTTAAGATCGTTTTAATTATTAATTAAACCCGTATTTAAAATGCAGAGAAACACTAATTGCCATGACTATCGCTCAAAATATCGCCAAAATTCTAATAAACTTTTCAATCTATAAATTTCGCATCGAATATATATATATATATATATATATATTAATATATTAATATATTAATATATTACATGATAGAGTGCATAAAGGGTATGTAAGAACAATGAAAACATTCTCTTTTCCGCATATGTGTTTTGGTAGGTGGGTAATATAGATTTTGCTTTGCGTGTGTGAGAATGTTATGTGTGTTGAACGTCGACAGTTCGATTCATGACGATGTCGAACGGAGGTGCAATTCTCTTAAATTATTTCCATTTATGACTTTGTATTACATCGAGCCTCTTTTTCAAAACAAATCCACTCACCACGTAAGTACATTAAAACCTAATCTTTCCATTTATTACAGTTAGAACATTATTCTTTGTCAATTTATTAAGAAATCTTCGAGAGTTTGGATTGTGAAGGTTAGATTATTTACCGCTTCATATTATTCACACTCTCTATTTACATCATAAAACTTTAATGATTCACATTTACGTGTAAATGATGTTTCGTTTTATTTATAAAAAGTGTATTAATATTATTGTTGTCGTTTAATTTATTCACCTTTAATAACATATACAGCACAAATCTGTGGATGTCATAAATCACTCGATAACATCGTTAAATATTAAATACTTATTATTAAATATTTTGCGAATAATTATTGTTTATGCGCGATTTTATGGTAAATGATTGTTTAAAATTGCGAATTTATATTTCTTTATTTAATGATTCATCCATTTAATGGTATTTGTTTTTTTTCTCTTATTTTTCTTATTTTTTTTTTTTTACATCTTTTAAGAATGGTTGAGGATAGGCATTGTACGGGCTGCCGAATTGAGTGTGAAGGTCATATAGGAACTGTAAAATATTTTGGAACAGTTGGTACTACAAATGGACAATGGTTAGGAATTGATTGGGATGATTCGAGCAGAGGGAAACACAATGGTACATATGAAGGAATTAAATATTATGAAACATGGTAAATTTTATATATAAACAATTATTTGATCGATTTATTACTAAATTCAGCGTTATAAAATTTTTTATCTCTATTTGTCTCATTTTATTATGTTTTTCAATTACAAAATATTATTTAGGCATCCCACTTCAGGATCATTTATTCGTCCTATTAAAGCAAATTTTGGAATATCGTGCTCAGAGGCCATAAAAATTCGATATGGTTTTGTAGATGATGAATTAGCTGGCATTGACAGGAATTCAATAGCTAGTGTACAAAAGACTCTGAAAGCTCCATTTGTGGAAATGGTTGGTTTTTCTAAAGTTAACAAAAAACAAAGTCAATTTGATCAATTGAAAATAGTTTGTTTATATAATGAGTGCATAAGTAATGCAGGTATCCCTAATGAATTAGCTACATTATGTCCGCAAATTGAGGATATTGATTTATCGCATAATTTAATAAGCTCTTGGAAAGTCATAACTGAAATTTGTATTCAATTGCGGGCTCTAAAGCAATTGAATGTCAGGTAAATTCGCAATTATACGCTTACAATCGAAACAAATGTATTTTTAAATTTTAATTGTAAAATGTTAGGGACCCGTGCATTGTATACAATCTTGGAAGCTATTGCTTTATGTTTGAATAAATTGTGCTCCAATTACAACAAATTGATCAAATTTCAGTGACAACAATTTGCCCGCCGAAATGAACATGGAGTTATATGGGGATGCCTTTTTGAATTTGAGGCAACTAATGCTTGTAAAAATGAATTATAATTGGCTTGCGGTTACAAAATGCCTAATGGCTTTTCCTTCGATACAAGAGCTACTGGTGTCTTACAATGTTATCGAAACTCTAAGCGATATAGAGGATAATTCAAATATTATGAAATTAACGGAATTATCTTTAGAAAAGAATCTTATATCCAACTGGGATGAAATCCTAAAGTTAGGAAAACTTCCTTGGTTAGTAAATAGTATTTATCGTTAAAATATTTACAATACAAAAGTCTCTTTGAAATTTTTAATATTATTTCAACCATAATTTTCTTAGTTTAAATTTAATATTTTATGTAAAATATATTTGTCTCTCTTGTACATAAGATATTTATTATACACATTATGATCTTAAAAGTGAAATTATTTTATAGTTCTAAGTATATGCTAATGAGACTTTTAAAAATTAATCGTTTTCTTTTCTTCATTAATAGCTTGAGGAGTCTAAATTTAAATTCAAATAAAATTAAAGTTATAAGATTTCCTTCAAAAGAGGCCACCGATAAAGTCGATCTGTTCCCCAGTTTAATCCAGTTTCACATATCAGATAACTGTATAGAAGATGTGAGTTTAAAAGATACATGATTAACAAATCATAAAAATTAAATAAGATTTTGATATAGGAAATTCCTTTCTAGTGGCGATCAGTAAGTGAACTAGAGAAATTAAAAAGTCTTCGAGAACTAAAGTTTCGAAAAAATCCACTTTTAAAGGGCCAAAATATGCAAACAGGAATGCAGTTAATAGTGGCTAGAATTGCAAATTTAAATCATTTAAATGGAACTGAAATTATTCCGTCGGATAGACGAGGAGCTGAATACGATTATCTAAAATTATTTTCTTCTGGATGGAAAAGTTCAGAAAAAGACGCGAAACAAAGACATGAATTTATTATAAACCATCCAAGATTTCCTGCATTAGTAGAGAGTAAGTTAAGTTGTCTATAAATTGCGTAAAAGAAAAGTCACATTTAATTATTTAATAAATAACTTCTATATTATACTTGTTATTTCGAGAAATTTTATTACTTATTTATTTCTACATCGATATTAAATTATTTTTACTGGCGCGTATATAATGTCAATAAACAAAATCAATTTTATTTGAAGTTTAAATAATTTTTTTATCGATGATATTATTACTACTTTTCGATGAAACTATTATTATTACCATTTTTAGAATATGGAGTCTTAGATACTTCGGAATTAAAAATCAATAAACTGCTGTCATCAAATGTCATAACTGTAAAGTTTATTTGTCCAGACAACCCAAATTTTAAAGAAGTAGACAAAAAGTTAATGAGAAATATGGATGTTCAAAAATTAATAGGAATTGTACAAAGACTGTTTAGAATTAATGGAAAAATTCCGTTGCTCTCTTTCATCCGGCCTAATGTAAGCAAACGTGTAATATTCGAATTTATTCAATATTTTCTTGGTCAACGATTGTTAATTAAATTTTATATTCTTATCTATGCATATTTATTATCTTATTTAATTTTTTCTTTTCTTTTTTCTTTTTTCTTTTTCTCTTTTATTAAATATATACATTTAGTATGTTATATTTTACTATAATTATGTAAAACGAATCATTTTATGCGAATTAGTATTTATTTTATTTACAATTTTAAAAATGTATTTTTAAAAATGAGTTTGTATTACACAATTTCAATAAATTAAAAGTATAAGTAAATTTAATGTTCTTTTGCGATTTTTTAAAACAGGTTTCTCAAGACGAAATACCATTGGATAAACCACTACGAGAACTAAGCTATTACCTTATTGAAGAAGGTGATCTAATCCTTGTACGCTGGTGATATTAAATTAATATTGTATTTATAAATATAATTGTATTTTTTACACTGTTAATGTTAATATTTTGCTGCCGTACTTTGTTATTAAACTTTTATCGATGCATTTTTGTTTTTGATTCCTTACCTTATCATAGGTATTACAATCCATTTTTGTAGTTAAATACATTTTTATCACTTCATTTACTTATATTACATTTATTATAAACTGAATTTTATTAATTTTGTTGAGCTTGTTGTTCAATTTTTGCTTGTTCTTTACTTTTTAACTGCTCAAGAGTTAATAATGAAAGTCCAAGTTGATCTTCCCTTGAGAATGGTTGTGCCATTTGACGTAACCATCTTTTACAAATCTGAAATAAAAAAAATATGTAATTACTTTTTAATTATTTTGCATTATGCTCCTATTTGAACAATAATTATTTCTTAATATTATTAATAAGTGTCATTATAAGATTTATTGTCTCTTACTTGAATTGCTTCTTCTGTAGATAAATTACATAGATTGTCTGTAAGATATTCTTGAATCCATTTGGGTAGTTTGCATTTCTTATCAATTCTAGAAAATCTCTATAATGAAAATGATTAAAATATTAGAGCACTATGGGTAATTTAGAAACATATATGAAGTTTAATTAAATGAAATATGCATGTTTCTAAATTTCATATAATTTACAAGAAAAATTTGTATAAATAAAATTGATATAGATAAATGTACGTAGGATAATATTACATATGCAATAGTTTATAATATTTAAATAAATAAATCAATAATCACCTTATCTGCAAACACCATTATACCATAATCGGTTTTTCCTCGAATAGCTCGACCTACGCATTGCGCTGCATGTCTCATTGCATCGAAAGTGAGAAAGTCATTCTCTTTGATCTACAATAAAATAATCTAAATCGAATAAATGCATTTATTTATTATTATAAAATGTTTAATTTAAAGACTTTACATCAACGTATACGCTGTATCTAACGAAATACATTCTTACAAAGAGTTTTATTTTTATTTTTCCTTAAATCGACACTATTTCGATAACATTACGATTATGTCTTCGTTTAATTTTAATTCATTTCATTGAATGAACCTTAAAAACTTACTGTATAAAGAAATTTTTTTTTTTTATATATTAAATTATAATTTTACTTACGTATGGATATAGTTTTTTCAAAAATCAATTTTTGACGAAATTATGAAAGAAATTTTTAAAGTTTGAAAAATGTTCGACTGCTTAATGTAGTAAAATATGAAATTCAATAAATGTGTCCAGGTTATTTGAAAAATCTGTCACTTAAATTATAGTAATTTGAATTATATCTCGCAATTATTCATTAATATGGATACTTTCTTATCATACCTGAAATTGATCCCTGAGATACTCCAGGCGAGCTTTCAAGATGCGTGACTGCGTATATACATATGGTATACCGAACATAAGCACAGCTCTTCCCAGGTGATGATCAAAATCAACTCCCTCCGACACTTTACCTCTAGCTACTGACAGGAGAACGGCGCCTCTTCCATTATCGCAAGCTTTGTTATAATAATACAAGGCTAAACTAGTCTCTGCAGAATCTTGTGTTTCAATGAATATTAATTTGTACCTTTGGATTTGATCTAGAATACCTTGGTCGTACCTAAATTTTAATAAATTAAAAATCTTATTACCTTCGATTAATCTAAGTACTTAAGAAAATGACGTCTGATTTAATTTTTAAATTATGTTAGGTATTGATTTATTATAATAATGGTTACTTATATTAACAATGTTCGATCAAGTTAAATATACACTTTATGCTTTGTATTAATGATCCTTTAAAAAGTAATTTAATCCTTAGATTTGTATTTCAATACTGAATATAGGATTTATTAAAACAACTGGACTAAATAACGAATGATAAAATCACAAACCAGGCAGCTACGACAGATTCCATATATAAATACGAAGTGAAAAAACAAACGATGCCATCGGGAACATTAGCAGCAAACTCGACCAATAATTGTCCATAATTCCTTATAACTGCAACGTCTTCGCGAGTTTCGTACTTCGATGATATAGCAACCTGATCGTTACCTTTTGAAACTATCTAAAAACAAATTGAAACGAGTGGTGAAATGATGTTTTCAAGGTTTAACATTAAAGTTGACATAAACAGTTATGTATATGTATATGTATAAATAATATTTAGTAGACATTTAAATCATGCGTATAAATCATGTAAATTGTAATATTATTATTTATACGTTTTTTTAAATGTAAATAATTACGATTTTAAATTATAGTACGCTAAACTAACGTTTATTCGCAATGAAAATTAATGACGATAAATTAATTAAAATAATTTTTAATAATTTTGCTACATACAGGTAAACTAAAAATATTACTATTATTTGTAATTTTTATAAATATATATATATTAATATTATATATTTATTAATTGATGACAATACTTTTTTTAAATACATAAAAATTACGCATCTCATATCACTTACTAAGTATTAAACTTTAACGATTAAAAAGATAAGAATCTATGTGATAAAGCGTGTAAAAGTGTAATTGTTTAATATTAATATATAAATTAATTTAATTGAATTAATGTATATTTAAATGCGAAAATTCATGTAAATAAATATTAAGATTATTTTCAAAGGTTATTGTATTTCCTTCCATTCAATTAAATTGTAATATTGATTTTCTACTAAATTTACTCGCTTTAAAATAATTCATCTTGCATCAATCAATCAAAGTACTATCGTTCAATGTAGCTAATTATTAAAATGTCTTTAATTATAAAAATAAACATATTAATGGGAATTTTCTTTACCATTGGAAGAAGACAAGGCCTAGCTAAGGTCATTGTAAACGATGACATAATAACTGGATGAAAATTTAAAATTTTTGGATACATGTCCAATGGTGATAAGGTCCCGGACGTAATGACGACAGTTTGAAATCTATCAAAAATTGGCTTCATTGCGATTGATGAATCTAAACATGAGAAATAAAGTATCGGATTGTGAACGGTCGGCGCTTTGTCATCAAACGGCTCTATAATAATAGTGAAGCCCTTGGTGTATGTCGCCACAAGCGTGGCAAGATGCGTAACGAGGATAAGGGGCGAGAAGTCCGTGAGGTCATTTATTTCCATCGTTCGAAGTAACGAAGATAGTCGCTCGGCGCAAAATCGTAAAGGCTTACGCTCGATGCAGATTTTCATTTGTATATCGTGCAAGAAGGTGACTGGTGATTCCTGGACGACGTGCTGGATGCGTAATCGCATTTTCAAATACTCGACGAAGCGCTTGAGAAAGCTTACAAAATGCTCGGCTTTACGTATGTTACCCGGCACCACACCTGAACAATAATGCTTCAATTACAAAAGAGTTTCTCATTAAATAATTCTTACATACATGCTCATCTACCAACATACAACAACTCACCTTTATACATTTATAATATAATTCAATTTTTATTTAAAAAAATATTGATATGAATATTAAGTATAAATAATTTATATGTGGTTCAGTACTGTTATACAAACTATTGAACAATATCAATACATGCAAATACCTTCTAAAACTTCGTTTGGTAAAACAGGATTAGCTAAAACAACATCGGTTTCACGAGCAACTTGTGCATCTTTTAAACCCTCTACTAGTTTATTATATTCTTCTTTGAGTTTGTTAGCATCGTCTTCTCTCATTCTAACATAATTGATATATTAATGTTGCAGCACATATTTTAAATGATTGGCATAAGAGTATCCAGAAAAATGTATAAAACATTGTTCCAATATCGAAGTAAAATAAAGGAAATTTTTTTTTGTTTTAACTTACTCTGCAACTGTCTTTTCAAGAAGAGTTAAATTTGAACAACTTTTTTCCATTATTCGACGATTTAACTTAACGCTTAAAGAATCAATGCATACATTATCTAAAATTACATGTAAGGATTAAATGTAAACATTATTAATACAAAAATTAAATATAATAACTAACCAATATTATGAGCTTCGTCAAAAACGACGACTGAACTTTTAGCCAATTCTTTTGACACGGCTTCAGCTATTTTTGGATCCAATAAATAATGATAACTATACACAACGATTTGTGCATGCATAAGCTGTAATACATAATTCTACAATTTATATGATTATTACAATCATTAATGTAATTATCATTGTCAATCATCAGAGCGAAAGTATATTTTTCTTTAATATCACAAAAGAACTTTTTTATTAAAACAGATATATTTTAATGGTCGTATTTTGCTTACGGTATATCTAGCTAGGAAGTAAGGGCACCAATTTCTAGCTCTTCCATATTCTTTCATATCGTCGATAGAATAAATACCGGGTGGTATGATCAGTTCACGGCCCTCGATATCGAATGTTTCATAAAAGCTACAAATTGGCGTGGAGTCGTCGTAGTTATGCCTTTCGCGAATGTAAGACGCTGTAAGACCGTGACAACGACTATCGACGATCTTGCCCTCTCTCTCTTTACTCACCTGTGTACAAAATTTTTATATAACATCAATGAAAATTTTAATAAACTTTCCATCTCGTGTCATATTATAAAGTATGCGCTGAGATTAAGTTACTCTGTTATTCAACGATACAAACATAAAATGTATTACCTCAGGATGGATGCACATGTTCTTTCTCGAACTGAGTACCAGCCCTATGATTTTTGGTAAAATCTTAGTCTCCTGTTCATAATAGTCTATTAATTTTTTCAATTCTTCAATAACTTTTTCTATTTCTGGCACAGTACGCGAACAATATATTAATTTTGTAACATCCAAGGGATGTTCTAACATATAAGCAACAATGAGAGATAGCAGAGTTATTGTTTTTCCAGTGCCGGAAGGCATTTCCAGAAGACAATGACCCTAGAACAATAAGAAACTGTGAATAACGAGCTTTTAAATAATAATTTTCAAAGGGCTAATGCCGCTCGTCTGCAAAATTAGTACTTTGACGATTAATTATTAATAAGATTTTTCAAGAGTTCATTATTCAGAGAGCAATAATATCAGATAGAAGAATATTTATAATAAACCATGAAGATAACCTTAGCATCGAGTCCTCGTTTGAGATCCAGCATGTACGCATATTGTTCAGGATATATATAATCATAAGGAAAATAGACTAATAAACCATCGACGCTTATCCTATAATATATATTAACGTTTTAATACAATATTTTAACATAAAAAATAAGTACCATGATGTACATTGGTATTTTTAATTTTTAATTAAAAATTTATATGGCTAATGTAATGACGCTATTCTGATTCTAATGCAATAATAAAGATTTAAATTTTCCTCAAATAAGCAACTACTACTGCCTACAACGTATCGATAAAAGGTTTGTAAATTTAAGATCAAAATAATTACAACGACTAATGAAACAATAAGCATTACGTGAATTAACACAAGTCTAATTATCAATTCACAATTAACATTAAAAAGATAATAAATTATTCTATACAAAAGAACAATGAAACATTGATAATAAACAGTCCATTCGTAAAATGTTATTGTTTATAAATAATAATACGCCGATTAACCTATAATAATGAATAACTCGATTAGTTCATCGAAAACGAAATTTAAAAGGAAATATATTTACTTCATATTAAGGCATGAGTATCAACGGGTAATGTTTTTTTTTTTACTTTTCTACTGTTTTAACAAATTCGCGTCAGCCGGCAAATACAGTTAAATGCAGATCCACTCTCGTTTCTAAATATTTCAAACTCTCTCTCTCGCTCTCGTATCGTACACCGATTACATGCCGAATTCTGCATTCTTTAGTCACATGCGCATTGGTCACCAGCGAACGCGCGCTTTACGAGTCCACGTTTCTACCAACACAGGCGCGCGACTTCACGCACGCACGCACGGCCCTCACCTTCCCAATAGCCAATCGACGCGAGACTGTTTGCGTATGCGCGTGCGTATGCGCGTGCGTATGCATCGTCGCCCCCCCCTCCCCCAGCGACTAAACACGTTTCTTCCATAATAATCAAATCGACTTGGAGAATGTCGCAATGCTTCAACGATAATATGGAAAGTTTGCTTTTATTTCAACGATCATGTCGCATTTTGTCCAATTGATGATGTTGCATTTCATTCGACGATCGATACTCTCTCGCCGATAAGACGCCCATCCATCCTACAATTAATTTTACAAAATACCATTCAACTATACTTATTAAGTATAATTAAAGAGGAAAGTCTTTTTTAATGGCATCTCTCGTCTGGCATTATGTTATATTGGCGGAATTTCAGTTTAAAGAGAAATATTAATTCAACCGATTGTTGAATCGTGTGGTGAAGGACATGTACCACCGAAGTAATTTAGAGACACCATTGGAGTTAGTTGTTTTGTTTCTGTCGCGCGCGCACAATTCACGTCCATTAGCCAATGACGGGGAAGCGAGAGTAAGACAGACCGAATGCGGAGGAGTCGAGTCAGTGTCATGACCAAATATTATTATCCCAATACCGGAAGTGAAGAAGTTCGAACGACGCTTTAAAATTCTTCGCTGTTGAACGCGGCGGGACACGTGGTTCGGCTAGATGTTTTGCTTGGATAAATAACTTGTTCAAACCTTCTTACCAAAGATTACGTGAAATAATATGGGAAAACCAGGTAAAATTCAACAATCTTTATACTTGTTTCACGTAATTGTAGTTAAGTTTTGCCGGGCTAAGTACTACTTCTCTTTCAACTAACTCGTGGTGTACTTTATCATAACCTCAATGTATTATTGTATTTATAAATTTATTCGGAAGTTTTTTTAGGTAAAAGAATTGTTTAACGTGATAATTATTCAAATGTTTAATCCTTTCTGTCGTAATGATTTCAAGAAAAGAATTTTTGCGACAGATATATTTCTTAATTTTTATTTGTGCTTTTCATTTGCTCAAATGCTTTTCATATTATCATTTTAAATGCACTTATTATTATAATGAGTAATATCGATTTATTCGTCAGCCTCTGTTATACTTTTATGTTATAATTTGTCAAATCATTATGTTCCCATACATATCTACTGTATGCAATCGTTTGATGATTAAGGCGTAGTCAATGTTAGTTAATATTTACCTATTTGTTATAGAAATTTTACCACGTGTACCTGTATATGTGAGATAAAAATTATAATTTCACCTTAAACGTCATTAATTTGTTTTTTTCATGTTTAGGATTTGCCCCACGTGGTGGTGGTGGTGGAGGTTTTAGAGGAGGTGGTAGAGGTGGATTCGGTGGCGATCGAGGCGGTGGACGCGGAGGTGGTGGAGGTTTTAGGGGAGGTGGTCGAGGTGGATTCGGCGGCGATCGAGGCGGTGGACGAGGAGGTAGAGGCGGGTTTGGCGGCGGTCGCGGAGGAGGCACTCCAAGAGGTCGAGGAGGTGGTCGAGGAGGGGGCAGAGGAAGAGGCGGCGGAGGATTCAAAGGTGGCAAAACTATTATTATCGAACCCCATCGTCACGAAGGAGTGTTTATCGCGAGAGGAAAAGAAGACGCATTGGTTACTTTAAATTTGATTCCCGGATCCGAAGTCTATGGAGAAAAGAGAATCAGCGTTGACGTAAGATTTAATTTGTACTTTTTTTTTTTATTATTAAAATTTAAACAAATCGAGACTGATATTTTTATAATTTTGTTACTTTTCTTTTTACATTTTACAATGAAAAATTTTTGTTTGCATACAGTAGAGCTGGCCTAGATAATTGTATTTATTCCAGTGCGACAGTTATGCTAAATAAATTTTCATAGTATACGATTGCGAAATAACTATTTTGGTATTTGGCTGTAAAATTGTACTATGAACAATTAACTTAAATTTTTCATACCAATTGTAAATCATCCGTTGAATATTATTTGTTTACTTACAAAACGAAAGGACATTAGTCATGATTTTTCTATTTGTATAAAATTTTAAAATATAGTTTATATTTATATTCCTCTAGGGAGAGAATGGAGAAAAAATTGAGTACAGAGTTTGGAATCCGTTCAGATCAAAACTTGCTGCTGCGATACTTGGAGGAGTAGATCAAATTCACATGTCACCGGGAAGTAAAGTTTTATACCTTGGAGCAGCTTCCGGTACTACTGTCTCTCATGTAGCAGATATTGTTGGACCTGTAAGAATAAATTGAAAATTATATTTAACGCGTGCTCTTTATTAAATTTATATGCAGACATTAGAGCCAAGCTGGCAAATTTTACCTACTTGGTGTCGAAGTACTGCAAAATTAACATTTGCGAGTCGATTTTATTTATAGATTTTTTTATAAATCCTATATTCTACATTGACGAGCATACAATAGCATTATTAATTATAAGTTATCCAATTTCTATTTTGCAATTTGATTACTAATCAATTTGTATTTATTTTAGGAAGGTCTAGTGTATGCTGTTGAATTTTCACATAGATCGGGAAGAGATCTGATAAATGTAGCTAAAAAGAGAACAAATATAATTCCAATAATTGAAGATGCTAGACATCCTCATAAATATAGAATGTTAATTGGTATGGTTGACACAGTTTTTGCAGATGTTGCTCAACCAGATCAAGCAAGAATTGTTAGTCTTAATTCACAATATTTCCTGAAAAATGGAGGACATTTTGTTATTTCAATTAAGGTATAATATAATTTTTAATTATATATATATATATATATATATTAAGTAATAGTGAGGCATTTTACATATGAACAAACTTTATGAAAACTTGTGCAAAAAGATGTTTGTAAAAGTGTTTTTAAAATTTCTTTTGAATTTTACATTACAAGGCTTACATTTGAAAAAATCATTTGCTTAAGCATAAAATATATATATATATATATATATATATATATATATTAAAGTCTATGAACATATGTATAGAAAAATACAATTTTATTTCTATTTATTTAATATTCTGCGATAGAAGAAATTTTACTTTTCAAATCTTACAAAGTTTGTAATTATTTTAGGAAGTTTTGTATCGATGAATTAAAAATAAATTTATTAATTAATTTTTAGGCCAGTTGTATAGATTCGACTGCGCAACCAGAAGCAGTTTTCGCCGCAGAAGTTAAAAAGCTCATCGCGGATAAACTGAAACCACAGGAACAGATTACTCTTGAGCCCTATGAAAGAGATCACGCGGTTGTTGTTGGCATATTCAGGCCACCACCAAAAAAAGCTGCGTAACATCTGTGATTATCTTAATTGTAAACTGCGTTATATTTACTTTTTTATAAAAAGAAAACTGTTTCCTTCTTCTTTTTCTCTCCATCCTTTTTTTTTTTTTTTTGGTAATACAAGAGATAAGAATAATCGAGGAAAAGGACTAATAATTAATAAGCTGACAGTCATGATTTACCTTTATATCATTGAGCAAACGGAAGTCAGTGGTGTAACTATGTTATATTTTTTTTTAAATCGATTATAACAAACAAAAAACATTATTAGTGTACTTGTTTCATATTGTACATGTTAAGGCACTAATTACATTTTATATTTTCATGAAGCTTGAGTTCATGAATAAATTAGTGCATACGTATATCTTAATTTTATAACGTAATTTTATAAATACCAGACTTATAAATACGTTTATAAGCTAACGATTTATATGCTAGCAGAATCCAAGTATATTTTTATTTAGATTCAGTGGAATTTTTCCAATAAAATTTCTTATATAAATAAATATATATCATTTGAAATAAAAATATTTTCATCAGTATATAATATTTGACTTTGTGACTTATTTCAATATGCATACTATTTAAAAAAAAAAAACAATTGAATTTTACTTAGCTCGTTTCACTTCAGTTTATTTTGTATTGACAGTTACTCTCTGAGAATTAAAATGTAATCACATTATTTAAATTAAAAAGTAAAATGCATAAAGTATCTAATTTCTAAAATATAATGACAGAAAAATATTAGAATAAATTTATTATCTAATTATAGAGTGTTATAATCATAAGTAATTGAAAATGAGTAAAAATTTAAATGAAGTTGAAAAATGTTAGTTGTATCGAGGTAATTATAAAAAGAATAATAGGACATGTAATATTGACATTTGTTTATTAATTAGGCACAAACGTTGGGCCGTTGAATGCAAAAATAACAAAATCTGAAGAATTAATAAATCCACAAAATGAACGAAAAAAATCTGCAAGAAAAATGTCTCGGTAATAACTTTATAAGCATTTATAATCTAGAAGTTTAGTTAATAATTTAATTTTTTTTTTCTTCAATTAAACGCTACTAAATTCAGCTATCGTTTAGAAAAAAAATTTCTTTATTTTAAATAATATAATATACTTATATTATTATCATTATCATTGAATAAAAGAAAAAAATTATCAAATACACCGCGAAAGAGATAAATAATTATATTATAAAATGAAAATTCGACTTTAATGTTATTTTAAATACAGCTGTTTTTATTAAGTTTGTCGTTGCTTAAAAGAATGAGTCGTTAAATTTGACTCGACTTATAAATAAAATCTCGTTACATTGATATTATGCATTATGACAAATGAATTCGAATTCTTAATATGTCGAATCGGAAGATTGGCGAATAAACTTCGTCTCAGCGGTGGAGCAGACGTCGACGATGTATCAGGGGAAGAAATAATGAACGATCAGGATGATAAGGACAAGGATCAAACCGAAAATGCTGCATTATCAAGCGAGTTATTCGATAAAGACAAACTTCTTATGAAGCAGCCTCTTCCGTCAACTGGGTATTTTTATCAATAAACTATAATGAGAATTTATCCCCCCCCCCCTGCCCTCCAATCCGTGTATCCAATATCAACAAAAAAGATTTCTTGTCCCCGTTTGATATTATACAAAATACGATAAGCCTAAAACATATTCCTTTTTATTATCATTTTTATAATTCATTGTTCCCTAAGTCTTTATGTTACACATGGCATATTTATTGTAAAGATCTGTATTCGTACGCGAATTATTAGAGAATTATTAAGAGAACTAAAGGCTTACACCGCTAATTTCAATCTGATTCTTTAACAAATTCGGTTGAAATTTATCGTTAACCGTAAATTGATTGAACCCCAAATTGATCTATCGCCAACGAATGACCATTTTCAATGTATTTATTTATAATAATGGATTATATTCATATGATATAATAACGATCGATTACCTCGTCGATTTATCTGATAAATACAACTGATGATGCAATAGGTTGATCATCTTAATCGACATTGAATAAAGAAAAATGAAAGATAAGCTTTATTTTTTTTTCTTCGTATTCCAACACGCAAGCAATATCCTGCACGTCCTGCACGTTTCTGCGAGTCGTTTAATTCTAATAGCGAAGCCACTCAATGCAATGTTCTATCTAGTAAAGCACCGCGGCACCATTTCTAAAGTAAAATTGTTCAAATCCATTCTATCTCCCAAATTCTCGTTCAATTGAGCTATAAAAATTCGCGAGAATTTGTTAAACAAAAACAATTTACGAAAGACGAATTGTGACGCGCAGGGATCCGCGGGTAGACGAGATGCTGGAATGCGCACTGGAGAGCCTGGAGGAGGCCGGGAAGGCGCTTGCGAGTCTCGGAGAGAACCTCGAACACGAGTTAAAGGTGCATGAGCAGCGTCGCGAGGAGTCGGGGCGCACCGAGCTCCTAAGTAAAAGTAGCACTAGCCGCGGCCACGGGAGCAATCATCGCGTCGTCGGCCGACGACCGAAGAAACACGATTGACTCGTTACTCATGGTAAGAGGTCCAATTACCGGCAACTCAACCTCTTCAATCGCCCGGTCTCACTTTTTCTCTGTACCGTCGCTGCTCTTATTTGATACGTTATCAATATTTTTATATTCATAAACATCTCGAGTGGTACACTGCAGGTGGCTGCTGAAAACTCAATTACTGAATTCGCAATTAAAACATTCGTGGCGTTTGAATCGTTCTGTTTCAGTAATTTGGAAACTTTTTTTTTTTTAAAAAATTTTTTTTTTTTATTTAAATAATTTTAAATTTGTAATGTTTCTATCAGATAATTGAATATTATCGCACACATGTACACATGTGCGTTCGTACGTGTGCGTGCGTGTGCGCGTGGGCGCGTGCCTATATATATATATATATGTATATATATATATATATATATATATATATATATATGTACATACGGGCACACGAGAAAATTCATCTGTCAGAGAAAAAAATTGAATGTCTTCTCTCTGTATTAAACGAAAAAAATTTGTTAAACATGTATATTACTCGCATGAAAGATAACTATTTGTCAGTAAGTGGACCTCTTAAATACAAAATATCCCGATTCCATTTATTTTATTTGAGCCTAATAAATCAAGTTAAGGATAAAACATTTTTATATTTTTCTCTGAAGTATAGAGCGATATTAGAAAACCTATTGTTTGAATGAAAATTACGTAAAGCTCTTTGAGTAGTTTAAAACACAAGGATATTTATAAAGTTTCATATATTTGGAAATATGTTCTATATAATTTATATATACTTGAATTCTAATAATTCGATATATATATATATATATATATATACTTTTCCTTTCCTTTTGTTTTTGAAGAAAAAAAAAATTATCTTTCACATCGCTATGCTTCAGATAATTACACAATTTTATGTAATAAATGAACTAAAATGATTTATTTTATAATATAAACACTGACTATTTTGGAATAAAGAATTATCAATATTTATTTTTTTGTTTATTATATATAGTTTTTCAAGTATTTCAATACGAACAAATTATAATTTCATACTATATGCAAATGAACGTTTATATTTTAAGAACTTAATGAAAGCAAAATAAAATTATTTTGAAAATTAATTAATAATATCGTTGACCCCGATTTTAATCCATCTACATCTACCAAGATTTTCGTTAAAAAAGTTTGTGACATAAATAAAATTCGAAAAACGAATTTCTTCTCAATTAGCTCACATTAGCAAGATAAATAATATCTATTCAATAAAATACTAAGAATTATATACGAAAAAAAAAATAATAATAAATAAATAAATAAAAAAGAAAAAAAATTATCTTAATCAACTAAGGAGAATCATATTATTGGTCGGATCATACTGGTTGGTATGAATTTCAGAAATTATGAAAAATTTCATTGCATATATATATATATATATATATATATATATATATCGCCAACTAAAAGCCTTTAAGATTCAGATTTAATGGCACTCGTATAGGTAAATTCCTATTAATATATAAATTATGAAAAGTTATCTTTTAAGTCCGTTTTCACGATGTCCGTATACTTATAAATCTTGCTTAATCTAGGCTTAATCTATTAAGTGTCGATCTATGCGGGTCTGATTAAAACTACGATGCATAAATCTCTCTAAATGTATGGTGAAAGCGTTGTAATTTATATAGCGAAAGTAGTAAAATATTTTCATATTTATTTTTATTTAAATTAATCGGACGTATTATTGTTTCATTTAATTAATAATCATTCATAATCCGTATGAAGATCAAGTTTGGTAAATTTTGTTTTGTTTTGTTTGAAGGGCAAATTTTTATTCTCAAAATTTAGATGCAAATCACAAATAATGACTCCCAAAATAATTCAAAGTAATTGTAATTTCATTATCGATTGTTTTAAGATAAAATCTTGTCTAGCCGATGATTATTAAAAAAATCAAAAAACTGCTTTACCTATGCGAAAAAGCAATGGTAAAAGAAAGTTTAAAGTTTATAACCTCGTTTATTCGTTTATTCTAAATGCGGCGAATGTGAAAATTTCGACCAGAACATTTTATTTTTTCTCTACCTGCTTTATAACACACCAACTAAAGCTGTTCCTGATCGAGCTGATGGGCAGAACGCGAAAGTGGACCAGCCAAGTAGAAAGTAAAATCGAGTGGACAAGACAAACCGTCTTTGAGCTTCATAAGGAATTGACAACGCAAGTCGCCACCCTGAGGGACAGTCAAAGGGAGTCAGCCGTGTTGCAAAAGAAACTAATGAACGAGAATTCTAAATTCAATGCTCCGGCAGAAAATATGGTTAGCTATTAATTTCGTATTATCTTATATCTGCGCCAAAATTCTCTCAATTAGCATGAAATATAATTATTATTTTATGGATATCACAGAGATAAGGATGTGATCCATTGGTGAAAATTAATTCTTGCGCTACGACATTTATTGTACAAAACTAATGCTCGCTATTATCGTTACGCGAATGGCCGACGCGATAGTTAAAAAATAATTAATATTTTTGTCATTGCTGGATTATAGTTACCCACTATTCGTTTTTCTTTTTTCTTCCACCCCCCACCCCCCACCCCCCGCTCCACAATTACCCAATTACCCAATTATAGTCCATCGTATTATTCAATTTTTGTATTTTTTGTTTTCTTCATCGTATACGTAGTCGTACGTATTATCGAAGGATTAATTATTTTTAACTTTATTTATTTTATAACTAATTTCATCACCACTTTTTTCACATTTCATACGTCGAATTTTCAATTAATCCATTGTGAGCATTATCTCTCTATTACAAATGAATTTCAATAAATTATGCGACTTTATTGTACAGCGCTGATTAGCTGATACTTGGATGTAAAGTATTATTGCCGAGATGCCACTGCATCGCTTAAATTAAAATGTTGTTATAAAGTTTCAATTAGCCATCATTTAAATCGACTAGGAATCACCGAACCGAGAGAAGAGCAACCTTACGGTCAACAAAGGAGATTGTGGTAAAATGTCAAATAGTCCTTCGCGAGCGCAAAGCAGCCGTTTCGGGACTTGTACAGAAAATGTCGACGATACCTGCCAGACCTCGCAAGATGCCGAGTACGAGCGTCTAGAAGGCTGCCTTGCAGAGGTACGAATAGATAATAATAATAATTATTCGGTTGTATAATTGGATTAGAAAGTGGAGTAGAAAGACGAGGGAGGATTATTTCAGTGTGACGAGTGAGCAAGATTTCGCAAACACTTGGGAATACAATAGAGCCAAGATTAATGCGATATTCTTCCTATTTTATTTGATGCCTGACAATCTTGCCACCTTCATAGCTATTGTTATGTTGATTTCTTTTTTTTTTTTGTTTGTTTGTTTGTTTTTTTTTTTTTTTTTCATTCCGTTTCTCTTTTCTTTTAATATTAAATTCGATCGATTGTCCGCCACAATAACGAAATGAATGTTATTAACACGGCTGAATCCTCTCAGTTGGAGTGCGAAGTCCTGGAGTTGCGAAAGGAAAACCAAAGAATCGTGAAGGATCGCGCCGAATACGAGAACGCGATCCAGCGTGCCTTGCTTAAAGGCGTTTCCTCCCTTAATGTCGAGGCCCTCAAAGTTTTGCGCTGTACTCCCATCCAAAGTTGTGGTCCACCATGTGAGAACACAACATCCATGTAAGATTATTAAATCTCTATTGTGATAAGGTTACGTCCAGTCATTATGCGCAATCAACTTACTCGATAATTATAATTTCTCGAATATGTATAAAATACATGAAATAAGAAAGTAAGAGAGTATGTAAAATTTTTAGCAAAGTATATAAAAGAAATGTGTACGTTATATGGGTAGGTCGGGTTAGGATAACATTTTCTTTTATATTTTCTGAAATTACACTCTACAATTATACAAATATATTATTGGCTTATTTCATAAGTAATAAAATAATTTATATAACCATATTCTTGAGTAATTATTATTAATAGGCATCGGATTAAAAAGAAAAAACAAAAAAAAACAAAAGAAAAAACAAAAAAAACAAAAACAAAAACAAAAACAAAAACAAAAGAACATATGGGAGTGAATAGGAAAAAAATATTTTACGACCTTGGTTGTTATTGTCATTATTGTCCATTGGTTATTCCACAGCGAGCCAGTGGAAAATTCGAAAAATTGCCCGGGAAAGAG